CCCCCCCAAAAGCCACACCGAGCGCAGCGTTCATCCACTCTGGGTACCCCCGCAAAGCCGCGTCCGGCTCCGCTTTCGCCTCCGCTCACCTGCTCCGCTGTGGACCGGCGCGTCCTCCTCTTCCTCTTTCCCTTCCTCTGCCGGCGAGGGAGGCCCATCCGTTGGGGGGGCAGGGATGTCTTCCTGCGGGGCCCCGGGCGAGGCGGAGGCCGGGGGGAGCGAGGCAGGGGCCGGAGACGACCAGGTGAGCGTCGGAGCCGGGCCAGGCGCGCTGTCAGTGCCGGGCGCCGGCGAGGCGGCCGACGGCTCCTGGAGAGCCGGCCGAGTGGCGTTGGGCGTCCAGGCGGCCAGGTCGTTCTCGCCGCTGCCTTCGGGCCGCCGGGGCCAGGGGGCGGCGGGGGAAGCCTGCTGGGAGCCGGCGGGGTCGTCGCGGGGCTGCAGGGCGCCCGCCGAGCCCAGCCCCAACGGCGGCAGCAGCAGGAGCAGCACCACGGCCAGCATCATTGCGCGGCGGCCGCCGCCCGGCCATCCAGCCGGGGTGGGGACCCCCCGAATCCGGGCGAGGCGCCGGGGCTGCAGCCGCTGCTACCGAGGCAGCTGCGAGGTGGGTCTCTCCGGCTGGCTCAGGCGCGGGCGGCAGGAGCGAGCGGGCAGCCGGCTTGCGGGCAAGAAGCGAGCCGGGGCCACCATCGCATCTTCTCCTCCTCCTCCTCCTTGGGCAGAAGCGCGCCCCCCTTCCCCTCTTCTTCCTCTCTCTCTCTCTCTCTCAATCAATCAATCAGAATAGAGCTGGAAGGGACCTTGGAGGTCTTCTAGTCCAGCCCTCGCCTTGCCTGCCCTCCCTCCCGCCCCCTCCCCACTTTGCTTTAACAATGAGGGCGAGCGGGGCCGCCTCGCCCGCCTCCTCGCCCAGCCAGGGAAGCGAGAGAAAGAAGAAGGCGGAAAAAAAAAAAGGAGGAGTGCGAGAGAAAACGGCAGGTTCGACGGGCGGGCGAGCCAGCCAATGGGGGAACGGCTGGGCCACGTGATCGGGCACCTCGGGGGGGGAGGGCGGCCAATGGGCAAAGAGGATGGGAGGCCGAAGACCCGCCTCTCCCGGATCCCCGACAGCTGGAAGGGGAAAAAAAGGGGGGGGGTGTCGCCCGCGCCGCGCGTTTCCCCGAGCGACCAGGAGATGCTCCGGCGGCTGCAGCAGCAGCAGCAGCAGCAAACAAAGGAGGATCGGGCCCAAGGCTCTTCCCCACCTTTGCTGGGGTACCTGGGAGAGGTCTCTGGGACATCTGGGCATCCATGGGGGGCGCTTAGCCCCCTCCAACCTACATGAGACCTACATGGGGGTTCCTCATGAATGGAAAACTAGGTGAAATATTAGCAGTTGCAAAGGAGGGCTTTCCAACCAACTCCTTTCGAACACAAAACTAATTTCACCCTGCTTTTCTTCTGAAAAAGCTTGCTACAGGTAAAGACAGGTGCTTTGTTTATCTCCCAAAAGGGGAGCCTCGGTGGCACGGAGATGCCCCAATTTCTGTGTCTCGGCTCCCATTCCTTCCATCTCAAGGCCGTTGACGCACCGACCCGGTCATCGGGTGCTTAGGAGAGGCACCCACGTCTGTCTTCTCCTTGGTCACCTCCCTGGTTGCAATTCTCAGGTGTGCCCAACTGGCTTTGATGCCCGGCTGGGTGGGGCCAGGCACTTTGATCTCACCTTCTCTGCCAACCTTTGGAAGGCCAAAGGTAACAACCCAGTTGCTTCCGGCAGATAATGTCTGGCAGGGTGAGAAGGAAATGTCCATGATGCGTAAACAAATGTGCAGTGCCAGTGCCTGTTTTATTTTCCACCCGTAAGAGGGAACACCCAGCCTCAGGCAGAAGCCAGTTTTGATAATAGTTGGCTTACAACAGGGAGGAACAATCAGCTGGGCGTGGTGTAAAGGCGGCTTGTGTCCTCAAATCTAGGGGACTCCAACTTCCAGGCAGCGGCCAATTTGGAACCAGGCCACATGAGGATGCTTGCAACGGCCATTAAGTGTGAAAAAACAGTCGTTAAGTCCCTTTTCCCAGTGCTGTTGTAACTTTGGTCATTAAACAAACGGCCATATGTCAAGGACCCGTTGGCCTCCACCTTCAAAGAAGGGGGGGGGGAAACCCACACGGCTGATGGTCCGTCTGCTAAAATAAAGCCAGGTCGTGGCACACACACGTCAAAGTAAATCAGGAATCCTGTAATTGCGGAATCTGCCTGGCAAGATACAAAGAATCTTTATCCACAGAAGATATGCATGTGTAAATCTTGTAACCATCCTGGCTAATTGGAAAGCTGATGAAAGTACTACGACTTGCTAAAAGTTAGAAACAGAGAATGCCCTGCAGCAAATCAAATGAATATTAGATAAATCCTAGGGATTTCATAAGCCAAGACCTAGGAAGAGGGACAGTTAAGAGACCAATAGAACGAATCGTAGAATTATTACTAAAATGTTTATTAGATGCTATGTCTTATTACCTCACTTTGTCTCACCTTCCCCTTTAGTGAAAATGTCATCAAACTTGCGCAATCCTTCGTTTTGGGCTCTTGGCATTTTGACCAGGAGCCCCTTTTCCTTGGAGGACTCCAATAAAAAGCAATCGGAAAACCTGCACCTCGTGTCTGGCGTTCATCATTGGCTTCGGCACCGGGCTCAGACCCGAACTGGGGACAACATGGCTGCAGTCAGCTCCCTTTGACTGAACTCCAGCCAGTGATGGGATTCAAAAATTTTTTACTACCAGTTCTGTGGGCATGGCTTGGTGGGCGTAGCAGGGGAAGGATATACTGCAAAATCTCCATTCCCTCCCCACCTCACTAACCTGCTTTTCAGCTCCGTTCTCCTGTGCAGGACAACCAAAGGAGACCCAGCCGATCAGTTGGGACTCAGTGGGAGGTGGAGAATAGATGGGGACGGGGCCAGTCAGAGGTGGCATTGGCCGGTTCTCCAAACTACTCAAGATTTTCGCTACCGGTTCTCTGAAACCGGTCAGAACCGGCTGAATACCCACCTCCGGCTCCGGCATGCGTGCAGGCATGCATTCACATGTGTGTTCCAGTTTGGGCACTCTGTGCCGAAAAGGTTTGTGGGAAGCTTCCAAGTCCCATCTGGGAGTTAAGTTTTCTCGAGGCAGGAGAGAGAAATAACATCCTGGCTAGCTAATTTCAACCACCATGCCATTTCCAACCCAGCTTTGGCAGGGGGGGCGGGATTCAAAAGAGAGACGCCCCACCCAGCCTCCCATTTACAATTTGCCAGGGCCTCTTAATGGTCGGCCTTAGAAAGCTAAGCCGAAACTGAGCCTCAGATTACAAAGACATGGAGAAGGGGTTTGCGTCTTGCCTGCCTTCCTCCCTTCCTTCTGATTAATGTGGTGCTTTTGACCACATTACACAATGCTCCACATTCAGATCCTAGAAGGATTTTGCATCTTTTCCACACAGTAGGAAGTTATCTCAGCAAGACATCTAGGAAGCTTCTCAATCATCCAAGTCAAAGTTGCTTCCCCCACACAAAAAAGACAACTCGACTTTCTTGTTTGGTTTTATTTTATTTTATTTTCTTTGAAAAGGTTTCTCTTCTCATCCGGGAAGCTTCTTCGGTTCTCCTTCAGTTCTTCAGAACTTCTTCAGAACTGAAGAAGCTTCTCGGAGGAGAAGCGAAACCTTTTCAGAAAAAAAAACAAAAGTTCAGTTGCCTTTTGGAAAAAGCACCTTTGGGAGAAGAAGAAAAGGAAGATTTTTTTTCTGCAACATGGTTTTTTCTTCTTCTTTCGGATACTCTGTCAGATGGTAGAGACTCCAGAGGGGAATTGGGGCAAATGAAGCCTGGCTCCCAAGTCAGAGGAAAACAGCCCTTTGCAAAGACATATCTTAAGGCTCATCATGAATGGAAAAATGTCCTTTTTTTTTACATTTATTAGACATTTCCACATCACTTCCTTGCAGCTTTGCAGAACCACCTGGCCTAAATTTAGAATACTGCAGGAATCAGCTGTCCTCTTTAGAAGAACTCAATTTTGAGATAGGAGCCAAGAGGAAAGCAAGCTTTTGCGTTCCCACAAGCCTAACTATCACTTTAGGAGGCCAGCAAAACAGTTCTCTTTTGCTACATGCCAAAGAGCTATAATTAAGGTTGCATGCAAACTAAACATTACTCAAACAGCGGGGAATTTCAGAAGTACGTTTTGCCTTGGATAATTCGATTTTTCTCTCTCTCTCTCTCTCTCTCTCTCCTCCATTCCAGCTCAAGCTTCGAATTTCTGGTCACGCATGGCATAGATTGGCCAGTGGCAAATCCTTCAAAACTGGGATTTCCCTGCCCCAGCTGAGGTTTTTGGGGTTTCTAGGCTGGTCGTAAAAAAAAACCCAGGCATTGAAATCATGAGATGGGCATTGAAGCCGGCTTCCTTTGAAGTGACTGGGGTAAGCAAAATTAATCGTGTCAGCATGTAATGGCCTGCTGAGGTTGTTCTTCCCCTAAGACTTTGGATTACCATTCCCATCAGCCCTGGCCAGCGTGACCCGGGTTCACCACGGATGGGAGTTGTAGTCTCGAGGTATTTTAAGGATTCCAGGCTGAACTGAAGAGCAGATTTTGGGGTTGCGTTGCTTCAGCTGCTCTGTTGCAAAGCAGCAGTGAAAATAATATGGCTTCTTGGCGTTTGAGTTAAGAATGAAGGTAAGGGAATATTGGCTCTCAAAAAGAGAGATTCTCTGCCGATTTTGGATGGAAGTCTTTTCCCAGGCCATGGCAATAGTTCTTTCTCCTTCTCCTTCTTCTCCTTCTCATCCTCATCAACATCTCTTTCTCATTAAACATCTCCTCCTATCTCTTCTTTTCTTGTCCTTTCCCTTCTTCTCCCTTTTTCCTTTTTCTTCTTTTTTTCCTCATTCTTCTCCACTCCTTTTTCCTTCTCCTCTTCCTCCCTCTCCCTTCCTTCTCTTCCTTCATCCTCTGCCTGTTCCTTTTCTTTCCCTTCTTTTCCTTCTCTTCTTTTTTCTCCTCCTCCTCCTCCCTCTGCTTCTTCTACTTCCCTTCCTTGCCCCCCCATCTTCCTAGCTTTCTTTTTCCTGCTCCTCGTTTTCCTTCTCCCCTTTTCTTGTGCTCCTTCTCCTTCCCTCTTCTACCCACAGCTGGTAGCCAAAGCAGTTCTCCTAGAATTGCCAGTTTTTTATGAGGCATATTGTTCTTCTGAGATATCATGACAGCAGAAAAAAAACCCAGCTGTTTTAAAGAAATAGGAATAGATTTTTCAGGGGGGAAATGACTTTTTTACAGTTTGTTTGCAGGGAGAATAAGACAAATTTTGTCATGGTTATGTATCTTGTCATGTTTATGTAATGTAAAATTGGAGGTGATGATCCTTTAAGAGCTACATGCAACAAAATTTAATATTTAATGTATTCCAATTAGTCTACATTCAAAGTGACAATAAAGTTATTCTATTCTTTTATTTTCTCTCTTTTCTTCTATTCCATTCTACTTTCTCTTCTCTTCTATTTTCTCTTCTCTCCTATTCTACTTTCTCTCTTCTCTTCTCTTCTCGTCTCTTCTCTTCTCTCTTCTCTTCTCTTTTCTCTTCTCTTCTATCCCAGACTGAGTCAATTCTAAAAATCTAACTTGGTCGACTCTTACAATTAACGTCAGAGACCAGAGGTGGGTTTATGGAATCCGGTACCTTGGAAAGGATGACAGAAATTACGTCTATTCATAGGTGAGGCCC